ATTTGAGAAATATCAGAATGAACTCATGTTTTTTCCTTTAAAATAAATTTCTCACTCTGGTGTTTTTTTGTTTTTTGTTTGTTGTTTTTTATGTATTGGGTTTGGGTGTACAGCTTAGTGGTTAGGCAATCACATACTTTCCATAGTCTTCCCCTCGATATTTCCAGCACCCCAACTGGCACCATTTTCTCACTGTTGAGGAAGTTTAGAAGTGAGCATCTCTGGTACCTAGATTGCTATGTCTAAATACCATTTTCAACTAAAAGGGATCAGAGTTCCTTAGCGAAGTGACTGCTTTCAGATTTACAACAGCACATGTAGGAAATAAACTCAGGTCTGTCCCAGTGTGCAAGCAAGGAAGCTTGAGAAACTGCTGCGCCCTGCTAGAGGACACAGAACCATCAAGGAGGGGCTGCCACTGACCAGATGTGCAGCAGTGTGACCATCAGGAATCTTAAGTGTAATAGATTGAAACACAGACATCAAATACGAAAAAATATGTTCATAATAATTAAAAATAATAACAATACTTGAAGGTCACCTTAGCTGTCTCAGACATCAACTAATTTTTTAAAAAATTAGAAGATAAAGTTTGAGCTCCATTTCAAATAAATAATTGATGAGGAATTCCCACTAATAAGTTAAAAAGACATGTTCGTGAAAGCTGTTGAATGTTAGGTGGAAGGTAACAGGAAAGCATGATGGATGGGTCAGACCAAAAACCCAAGCCCACTGGTCTCATTCGTAATGCCACAGGAGGACTAAAAGCAGGTCTGATGCAGTAAGGAAGTATACAGTCACCCGTGAAATGCTCTTTCCAAAAAAAAATTAGTTGGTCTTGTTCTATGGGATAAATGCCTCAGTTTATTCATGAAATAAATGGCAAGAGGAAAAAGTGAAGGAACCATAGCTTTGAAGAGATCTATCAACCAAGTGGAATGTGTGGAGATCTTATTGGGGTGCTGATTTGAATAATTCTAAAAAGACGGTTATGGACCAACTGGAGTACTTTGAACTCTGATGAAATATTAAGGAAAATTGCTGTCATTATGGGGTTATTGTTTTTTAAATGTTGCCTTTTGAGATAATTTTAGAAATGCATGCTGTTTTAAGAATTAGATCCCAAGAAGTATTGTACAATATCACAGTAGTACAATATCAAAATACAGTCAAGATACAGGACATTTTGTTGTGGGAAAGCTCTCTTCTTGTCCTTTTATAGCTATATTCACTTCCCATCCCTACCTCCCCCGCCCCCCAAACCCTTGGCAACCACTAATCTGTTATCCATTTATTTAATTTTGTTATTTTAAGAATATTATGTAAATGAAACCACACACTATATAACCTTTCGGGACTGGCTTTTTTCACTCAGCATAATTAGCTGAAAATTGGTCCACGTTTTTGTGTGTGTCTATAGTTCTTTTTATTGCTGAGTAGTATTTGTTGTTATAAAAAAGGGTAATTTTCCAATCTATCTATAACAAGTGATTACATTGTATACTTTAAACTTGCATGGTGTTATATGTCATTTATACCTCAACAAAGCTGGAAAAAATAAAACTCCATTGTAAAAGGAAAAAAATCAATAGAATACAATGTCAGGTAATAAAATGTTTCATTTTATTGCGGGGTAGGGGGGAAGCCCTTGCTGCTTAGAGATACTACAGAATTTTCAGATACAATGGTGTAATGTCTGGGATTTTCTTTAATCGGGTGGGAGGTGTTTATAAATGAATTTTCATTTCTATACGTTAGTGATTGTTGAAGATAGTTGATGGGTACTTGGGGTTCAATATACTATTGTACTTTCTTGTGTGTTTGACATTTTCCATTATAAAAAGTTAAAAATGTAACAATATGAGCTCCTTAGTTAAGGGATGGAGCTACCTACAAAACTAAAAATGGAACTAAATAAACAGCAAGGGTCAAGAAGCATATGCTTTTCATCATAAGCGTTCCTGTACAATTTGATTTGTTGCCATGTAAATAAGTCTTAGTGGTGCCAATAAAAGATAAGCATTTACTTCGTTGCCTCACCTCCTTCACTGTCTGAGAAGAAATATTGATGAGGTGATTCTGCAGGAAATGGAATCACTTTAGGTATCACCTTTGTCCTTTGTCTGGTCCAAGTCATGAACCAACCCACCATTTCTAGATCACGTGACTTCCCTAGGATTCCAGTCACATGTGGCTTCTTTTGTGTCTATTGGCTTGAATTAAAATTTTGCCTTTGCAGATGAAACCTTGTGGATAATATAGGTGTATTTTCATGGCAGACCACAGGTGCCTTCATCTTTTCTTTTTGGGTCATGTACTTCTGTTGGCCCATGACCATGAAAAAACAATGCTCATCTTTCACCATGTTTAGCAAATTTCATGAAATATAATTAATTGTACTTCTTTTTCTCTGCTTTTTTTTTTTTTTTTTTTTAAATATATTTTTATTAATTTCAGAGAAAGGAAGGGAGAAGGGAGAGAGAGAGTTGAAACATCAATGCTACAAGCTTCACCATTGATCTGCTGCCTCCTGCATGCCCCTGACTGGGGATCGAACCTGCAACCCTGGCATGTGCCCTGACCGGGTATTGAACCACAATCTCCTGCATCCTAGGTCAATGCTCAACTGCTGAACCATGCCCAGCTGGGCTGTACTTCTTTTTCTTTTACATTTATTCATTCATTTGTTCATTCATGTTTGTTGAGTAGCCACTGTGTGCCAAGCACTGTTGCAGGTGCTAGGGACATTTCATATAAACAGATTTTTAAAATCCTGCTAAAAGGGGATTTTTCCCTCCATAAAAATCAGAAACGATTCTGGAGGTTATAACATTGACCATAGCATATGAACTAGACATGTAGGGCCTATGTAATAGAACCTCACAGTAATACTAAGAGCATAATTTTTGATGTTAAAAGTATTTCCCCCATATCATTCCTCATAGTAGTAGGAAAGAATTTAAAAGAACCAGAATAGCTAACACATAGTTCTTACTATGATCAAGCCCTATTTTAACCATCTCACTTAAGTTAACTTAAGGTTATAAAGCAGTTAAGTGGCAGAGTCAGGATTTGAACAGAAGACTTCTGGCACCAGAGGCCAAATTCTTCTACTTTGCAGTTCACCTATGGAGCCCACATCCATTGACCAAGCTACCATTTCCCCAGCTGTCCCATGGAAGTGAACAGAAATTCCATGGGGAAAAAATGTTTCATAAAATAAATATGTAACCCAACATTTTCCTAATGTATATAGACATCGTTTATACTGAGGACTTCTCAGACAATTTAGTGTTAAATGTATATTGTAAATCACCAAGAGGAACATTTATCTTGTGCTGTTCTAAAATCATTTTTCTATGGAATGTTTTGTTTTACAGGATATCTGTAGATATCAAGGAACATACAGTTCTGGAACCACTTATGTACTCTTGAAAACCACTCACTGTTTCACACCATTTGTTTCTATGCTGTCCCCAAATGATCTTCCTTAAATGCACCATCAAATGTTACTCCCTGAATGACGGTGCAGTGAGCCCTCGTTGCTCTCAGGCTCATGCTCAGTGTGTACAAGAGCCCTGCTTGCTTTGTTAGCTTCATCTGCCCTCTCTGCGTGGGCCCACCCACCATACACTGCTGCTTGCAGCTCTTGGTCTGTGCTGCCTCGTGTAGAGCTCCTGCGAGTGCTCTTCTCTTTGAAAAGCCTTTCTGCACCACTCCCATAATTGGCCAAAACAATTCTCGCTTGTTTAAAACTTAACCTCAACATTACCTTGTCTGTAGAGCCTGCCTTGAACACCTCCCGTAGGCCCGGTACCCATCTTCTCGGTCTATGCAGAGTTTGTCATGATCGTACATACTATGATTGCTTGTTAGACCCCGAGCTCCTTAAAGGCCACACCCGGTGTGCTTTGTCTCATAGCTATCCAGTTATCACCTGCATGTAGTATCTCTGTGATGTTTGCATGGATTCCACTTTCTAAGAAGCATTGTTAAAAACATGTTCCTTGTGTTGACCTGAAGTCTGGTTCTCTCCAATATTATCACACTGAGTATATTTCTTTTTACTCATAATGTATTATTACAATACAGAGTTTGAGTTTCCCTCAAGTCTTTTCCATATGAAACTTTTTTTAACATAGAACATGAGTTCTCAGTTACTGAAATGGCAGTCAGAATTAAATTTAATATTGCTTTCCAGATACTATTCAAGCAGTTTTTCATTTTTATAGAAACCCACATGTTTTTTATCAATTACTACCAACCTTTGCCTCTTCTACTTGTGCTTGTTAAAAATCCATTTTAACCCGACTGGTGTGGCTCGGTGGTTGAACATCGGCCCATGAACCACGAAATCCCTGTTGTTTCTTGGTCAGGGCACATGCCTGGGCTGCAGGCTTGATCCTAAGTAGGGGGTGTGCGGGAGGCAGCCAATCGATTCTCTCTCATCGATGTTTCTATCCCTCTCCTTTCCTCTCTCTGAAATCAATAAAAATTTTAAAAATCCATTTTATTTTGACCTGTTCATTTTAATGTTGATTAAATCTGTCGTTTGCATCAGCTCAGCCAGCTTCCTATTCTCTTCAAACTTTATGTCTGCACCTCATGTTTCCCCATCCAGATCTATGGACAGAAGGATCTCCCGTGACTTCCAGTAGATAACTCCTAGATTAATCCTGAGCCATCCCGACTACGTCGTAGTTACAAATACCCCTTAAGCCTCACCAGTCTCCCTCTGTTATCTATTTTCAACTTACCCTGAGCTTATTTGGGCAAATGCTTTGTGGCAATACAGAATGTTTTGCTACCATCTTTCGATTGAGCTCTGCTTTATATTTTATTTTGACTTTGAGGAAGGTAGCAAGCCCCCTACCCCTGCTCAGATTTCTGAAATTTTAAATGAGATAACTGGTCTTAAGTTTTTATAGAAATTAAAGGGTCAAAATTGTACATGGTGCTACATCTTTCTCAGTTACGGTGTTTTAATACATTTTTTTCAGGTTTTAAAAAGTTGCCGAAAGAAGAAAGGCAGGAGGAAGAAAGGCGTTGAGAAGTCTTTGTATGGGGAGAGAGACATTGCCTCTAAGAAGCCACTTCTCAGTCCCATTCCTGAGCTGCCTGAGGTCTCTGAGGTGTCACCTTCCGTTCCGGTCGTCCGCAGGGTGTACGCAGGTATTCTGTCCCTTTTGTTTATTCTGTCTCTTCTCTTTACCCTCTTTGTTGCTATTTCTCTTTTTTTTCCCTTTTCCCCATTCATCATGTAAATTGTAAATACATAAAAAATAACAACTTTCCCTGTTACCATGAGAATGTTAAGGAGGCAGTAGCTGGTACCTTTTAGGTCACCTAGAGCCTTTTCAGACTCTGATGGAAGCCCTGGGTCCCCCCCCCCCCC